CATGTGTTTGATTTTTTTTTTTTCCTTGCTTTTTCTTTTGTTGATTTCTACTTTTATGGCTTGATGGTCAGAAAAGATGCTTTGTAATATGTCGATGCTTTGGATTTTGTTAAGGCTTGCTTTATGGCCTAATATGTGGTCTATTGGAGAGCATTCTGGAGAATGCTCGGTGTGCATTGGAAAAGAAAGTATACTTGGCTGCTTTTGGGTGGAGTGTTCGGTATATGTCTATGAGATCAAGTTGGTTGATTGTAGCATTTAGATCTTCCGTGTCTTTCCTGAGCTTCTTTCTGGATGTTCTGTCCTTCACCGAAAGTGGTGTGTTGAAGTCTCCTACTACTATTGTGGAGCTGTCTGTCTGTCTTCTCAGTGCTGTTAGAGTTTGTGTTATGTATTTTGGAGCCCCGTCTTCAGGTGCATAAATATTTGTTATAGTTATGTCCACCTGGTGTACTGATCCTTTAATCATTATATGGTGTCCTTCCTTATCCTTTGTGGTGGATTTTACTTTAAAGTCTATTTCGTCAGTGGTTAATATTGCCACTCCTGCTCTTTTTTGAGTGTTGTTTGCTTGATGTATTTCTTCCCATCCTTTGACTTGTAGTTTGTTTGTGTCTTTCAGTCTAAGGTGTGTCTCTTGTAGGCAGCATATAGACGGATAGTGTTTTTTTAATCCAATCTGCCACTCCCTGTCTCTTTATTGGTGCATTTAGTCCATTTACATTCAGTGTAATTATTGGTAAGTATGAGCTTAGTGCTGTCATTTTGATGTCTTTCTTTGTGTGTTGTTCTCAGTTTCTTTGTTCCACTTAATTTTCTGTGCTGAGTCGTTTTTCTTTACGTATTTTCTTTTCATCTTTCTCATTGTTGTTGATTTTGTGTTTGCTGAGTCTTTATATTTTTCTCGTTTTTTATTTTGACTTGTAGGATTGTTAGTTTCCTTTGTGGTTACTTTAATATTTACCCTTATTTTTCTTAGCTTCTACCAGTCTTTTATTTCTTTATATCACCTCGACTTCCTCTCCATAAGAAAAATCTATGTCTGTATTTTTTAAGTTCCTCTTTTTTGTTTTAATGTTGTCATCTTTTACATATTGACATCTGTTTCCCTATTTTCAGTGTTTTAGCTTTGATTTATTTTTGCGATTTCCCTATCTAGGTTGATATCTGGTTGCTCTGTCCTGTGTTCTAGTCTTGGGTTGTTATCTGATGTACTGATTTTCTAACTGGAGGACTCCCTTTAGTATTTCTTATAATTTTGGTTTGGTTTTTGCAAATTCCCTAAACTTCTGTTTATCTGGAAATGCCCTAATTTTGCCATCATATTTGAGAGACAGTTTTGCTAGACAGATAATTCTTGGCTGGCAGTTTTTTTCCTTCAAGGAAAAGACAGAATACTACACAACAATAAAGAACAACGATGAAGCCATGAAACATCTTACAACATGGAGGAATCTGGAGGTCATTATGCTGAGTGAATTTAGTCAGTCACAGAAGGACAAATACTGTATAAGACCACTACTATAAGAACTCAAGAAAAGGTTTAAACACAGAAGTCAACATTCTTTGATGGTTACGAGGGTGGGGAGGGAGGGTGAGGGTTATTCACTAACTAGATAGTAGACAAGTATTATCTTAGGTGAAAGGAAGGACAGCACACACTACAGGGGAAGTCAGCATAACTGGACTAAACCAAAGCTAAGAAGTTTTCTGAATACAATCAAACACTTTGAGGGCCAGAGTAGCAGGGGTAGGGATCTGGGGAGCATGCTTTCAGGGGACATCTAGGTCAATTGGCATAACAAAGCTTATTAAGAAAATGTTCTGCATCCTACTTTGGTGAGTGAAATCTGGGGTCTTAAAAGCTTGCAAGTGGCCATCTAAGATGCAGCAGTTGGTCCCAACCATCTGGAGTAAAGGAGAATGAAGAACACCAGAGACACCAGGTAAGTATTAGCGCAAGAGACGGAAAGGGCCACATAAACCAGAGACTTCATCAGCCTGAGACCAGAAGAACTAGATGGTGCCTGGCTACCACCAATGACCGCCCTAACAGAGAACACAATTGAGAGTCCACAGATGGAGCAATCGCTGAGTCAATTCTGACTCACAGCAATCCTATAGGACAGAGTAGAACCACCCCGTAGGGTTTCCAAAGAGCGGCTGGTGTATTTGAACCTTTTGGTTAGCAGCCAAACTCTTTTGAAAGGGGTCCTAAAAATGGCCCTGAAACGTGGTTTACGCCCCATAGGTGTGCTGCCATCCCTGCTGGTCCCATGGGTTCCCTGGGGAGAGTGTCAGGCTTTGTCAGGACCAGGAAGATAACGAAAAGGAAAGAATATGGCAAGGAACTGGCCGGCCATCTCCTAGCTTTTGAAGTCCCGTTGTCTCTCCGAGCTCAGTTTCCTCATTTGTAAATGGTAGAAGCACACCTACTCCCTGGAGTTGTGAGGGGTGACTGAGAAAACTCAGTAAAGCTGGCACCTGCTTAAGTAGGAGTATGCAGCAACCACTCCCGGTGTCCCGTGAGTCTCTGGGCAGGCCGGGGCTGCAGACCACAGGAGCGGCAGGGCCCAGGAATGTCACCCACACTAAGCTCTAGGTGTTTCCTCAGACTCTAAGCTGGGCCAGGGTGTCCTGCCCAGGGCACCCACCAGCTCAGGACGCTCGCTGACTGCCCCTCGAAGAAAGGCATAGTCTCCAGACTAGCCACCAGGGGGCGCCACCATCACATCGCTGCGTGCTCTGGAGGCGGGTCCTGGCGCAGGTGAGCCTTCTCGTTTGTGCCGAGGCGAGGTCGCTATTGCTTTGCAGCGGAAGGGGACCGTGGAAGGAGGGAGGTGGGGAAGTGGGAGCTGCAGCTCTAGAGCCTGAGCCTGCTCTGGCCTCCTGGCCCCTCGTAGCTGCCCCTCGTCTGAGCAGCTCCTGGAGGAGCCTTCAGCCTGGCGGCCCACCCCCTGGTGCCACGCATGTTGCATGTGGCCTGGTCAGGGTTTGGCCACACTCAATGGTGGCTTTGGGCAAGAAGACCCCCCCATGCCCACACCTCAGCCTCCTCACCTGTGACATAAGAAGGTCACACTAAATGACCCCTCCCATAGCCGGGATTCCCAGTATCCCCTCAGCCAAGGCCCCCAGGATGCAGGGTGGGGGCCAGTGGAGTGGGGAGTGGGTCAGAGGCCGCCCACTGATCAGTCCCAGGCCCGCCC